AGCATAACCTCCAAAAATAAGATCATAAGGTCTTTCTAAGTATTAAAAGATCAATAAGAATCTTACCCAATCCACAGTTAAAAAAAAGGCACACACTAAAATAATCTTTGATTCCTAAATCAGACTTTAGCTATCAAGACTTCCAAATAATAACCTTCCTATAACATATTATCCTTCTCTTTTTCAAGGATTTGAGAGACAAAACATAATTCAAGAGCTACAAATTGAACATGAGACATAAATTTCAATTTCATAAAAAATAAATCTTTAAGTCTACAAATCATTTGACAAATATTCTCTAATGTATACACATGAACATACATGTACAAGCCACATACACTATAAACCAGTTGACAAACTTTTCATATAACATATTTTATAAATCATTGTACTGATATAAAAATTTGGCTTAGTAGCTAATGTGGTGGGTTTAAGAGAACGGATGACCCTAATTTATAGTGTAAGGATAAAAAAAATAGGTTATATAAAGTGAATATGAAAGAGTGGTTAGTTAATTGGATTCATAACATATGCATTTAATTAAATTAGTTATGGAATCTTTAAGAGCCTAAAAAACTGATTAAATCTTATGGTTATGATGATTTGCAATTAATGTAATTCAATTTAATTTAAGACTCATTGAATTAGACTTCAAGATAAATCAAATAAATAAAATAATTAATGTAAAGTTAAAATTATCAAATTTGAGAGGTGTAAAAGGGGCAATCAAAAGTTCTAGCAGCTCGATCCTCTTTTACTTCTTTATGTTTTGAATTTTTTTTACCAAAAAATGGTCAAGTGACTTATGGAAAGGAAAAATTCGAATAAAGCGGTGGTAATATTATTTTAAAGAATAATTAATATTGTGGACAACTCTAACCTACATTATAGGATTTACAAATATTGAACTTGTGACGTTTCTCATCAATTCAGGCTATCTTGCTTTGCTTTACTTTACTCTCGTATTATTGTTAGAATTCTAGAACTTCTCTCTTTGGTATCCTACTTGCACACTTCAATATAATGAACAAAATAGTATCTTTATCTTCCCAAATGCTCTATTCTTATCATGGTATCATGGCTTCTCCATTAGCCTAGAGAGATCACTTTCTTCTTTCTCGATCTCGAGTGGTCGAGGGGGTTTTAACGCAAACTCCACGCTTCCACTCGGCGGCCTCGACACCAGCTTCAACTCCTTTCCTTCATTGCGATCTTACTCACACCCAAACCGCTAGTGAAAACCTAATCCTCGATGACGCCTCTGCCCTCTCGGCATACACGCCTTCGCTTCTCCCAACACCTCCGCTAGTCGTTCCCACTTCGTTGGCTATCTCGACGACGTGTCCTCGACCGCTGAGACAACACCCGCAGTGCTCTTGATCGCCGCTAGCCCACAATCGCGACTTTGGCTGCCTTTACTCCACAACTAGACATCACCGCGTCATCGATCTAGACACGATCATCAACACGCAACTCTCCTTGCCAGTGACTGCCACAAACACTAACGCCATCATACCATCCGATCATTGCCTTGCCTTCGATGAGCCCACCTCGACATCGCCTACAACCCCAATCACTTCCAACTCTTTGTAACCTGCAGCAAAGCCCCCATATTCCACTGCAACACCCACAACTTCAGAGCCCCCATAGGTCCCCACAAGCACCAAACCCTCACCTTACCCCAACACACACTCACTAAGTTCTCCTTCGCCAACAATTGAGAAATTAATTAAACCCAACACATTCCAGCCACAAGCTTCACTTAATTCCCCTCCTGCAATCATTGTCATTTCTCCTTGCATGATGTCACGTGCACAGGGTGCCTGACAGAATGTCTCAGGGAATTCCGCCTCTTGGATGTGCTCCGTCTCTCGTCCACCGCCACCGTGCGGATCCTCTCCACACTCGGCATCACGACTATCTTGGTCTTTAGCTCATTCGATACAGTAGCAACCTATCACAATGCAACACAGACTATTTGAGGTAGTGCCTGAACACAATGCTTGGATCTTGCACGCCTAATCCTCGTAGCAACAACCACCATTTGTTCGGCCTAATGTCCAAGCTGCAACGCCCAACTGTAACGCCAGCGGCATTCTCTCTATTTGCAGTGCCCATGGCAATGACTCCGTCGGACTATCTCCATCTGCAGCCTCCACGGCGGACACCGCCGGACCACATTACACCATGAGCTCATCGCCTCAATCCAAGCCCTCACTGAACAGCACCACAATCTTGCTGTCTACAATCCAAAGCAACCGATGTGCTCCAATTCAATCACCTCTCCTCGAGCCACGCCAACAACCATCTACGTAAATTTAGATTATCTTATCCAAACTCTCAGTTCTCTACCCACGGTGAGTTTGACGGGAGGTATTAAATAAGGTATTCAGGCCACCTTGCTTTGCTTTACTTTAGTGCCACACGGCTTAGGATTTTAGAACATCTCTCTCTCCTTGCTATTGTATTTATGCACTTTAATATAATGAATAAAATAGTCTCTTCCCCCTCCCCCCAAATGCTATATTCTTATCAATCATCAGCAACTACTCTTTTCACATTCCAAGTTCATCTGTAAGTGACGTGACCTGTTAGCAATGGTGCAAGTACTCTACCGCCTTCCAGGTTCATCTACAACTGAAGTGATCCGTTAGCAATATCGTTAGTCACCCGCAACCTTATAACCCTTCCTGCTCTCTTAGGATGTTCGAGTATCATCAGTAGCACCCATTGGTTGAGGAGGGGGAAAAATCGATTAATGGATAAATTAAACCCTGTACAACCCATGCTTGAGACCACAACTACAAAAGAAGTTAGGGCTTGTTTGGATTGAGGGGAATGAGGGTGAAGGGAAGTTAGGGGAACCATTCACCTCCATTCACAATGAGGGTGAAGGGAAGTTAGGGGAACCATTCACCTCCATTCACCTTGTTTGGGAACACTTAGGAGGTGAAGGTTAGGGGAACCATTCACCTCCATTCACCTTGTTTGGGAACACTTAGGAGGTGAAGTTAATTCACTCTATTTCCCCTTGGTTCACCCCCTAATAGTATAAAATTTATTACCCCCAAATTGGGGTATAACCAAGGGAAATGGAACTCCCTTCCCTTCCCTTCCCTTCCCTTCAGTTTCCCTTAACTTCCCTTCACCCCCTACAAATCCAAACAGGCCCTTAGGAATTAGGTTCTAAAGAACTTGAACATCACGCCTATGGAGACGTACATAGATAACAGTAAGGATCTTATTGAACTCTCAAGTACTTCTGTCCTAATTAAGGGATTAATTTTTTATTATCCCTCTTTTCCTCTGTGGTAGTTACCAATATTGCCATTTTATGAGTCCATAGTGGTGTGACAATGTTTTTTTTTTATTTTTATTTTTTATTTTTTATTTTTTTGCATTTTCCCAAGATTTTATCGGACCATCTATTTTTCCTCCAAACAGAAAAAGAATTCCAGTACTACTTTCCTCCAAAAAAAATGTCCTTTATCCTTTGTAAGAATTGGAAAACCAAAATTTGGAATTGTAGATAATGGAAGGAACAAAACAATGGCACATCATCGACCTATTAAATATTTGACAGTGGCCTCATTTAATTACCACATTTGGCTCATACTCATAGTAGAAGGAGACTAATAAGTAAATTTGCACTTTAGAGGAACACTAGTAGAAATTTGAATATTCTAGACGGAATATTCTAGACGGAAAAATTTCCGTCTAGGATGTAATATCCTAGACGGAAATTTTTCGTCTAGAATATTCCGTCTAGGATATACTATTCTAGACGGAAATTTCCGTCTAGAATAGTATTGTAGACGGATTTATTTATTTTTTTTTTTTAAATTAACTGAGCATCCTAGACGGAAATTTCCGTCTGGATTGTATCCTAGACGGAAATTTCCGTCTAGAATACTCTTATTTAAAAAATCACAGCCCCTAAATTCTGCCGCCTATAATTGCCGCCTCAAACCCTAAATTCCCAAATTCTCCGCGCCCTCCCATTCTTCTCCTCTGTTCGAACGCCAGAACCGTCATCCCGTCGTCCCCCTCGATCCCGCGCCCTCCCGTCGTCCTCCTCGACATCTTCGTCCTCCTCGACGTTTCATCGTCGCCTCCCCCTCAGCTCCTCGACGTCCTCCTCCGACATCATCATCCTGTCGTCGCAGATTTCGCTGTAAACATGAGATTTTTTCCAAAAATTTCAATGAATTTTGGTTCCTGATGGCTTTTACGTTCCGATCTGAGGATTTACCAGCTATTTTCGAGATATTTTGCAGTTACATACTGATGCGTCGAAATGTAGGCAAAATGGGGAAGTGGGTATCTCTGATTTCGAGCGCTCTGCTCGGTTTGGCGTTCAAATTTTGATTTTGATTTGAAATTTTTTTGATAGGGAATAAGTTTGCGGCAGGGAGGCATATCAGGATTTATCATGGGGTTTATAGGGAGAGGGAGGTGGCGGTTAAGTTGATCAGCTAGCCGGAGGAGGACGCGACTCTGGCTGCTTTGCTAGAGCAGCAGTTCAATTCGGAGGTTGCCTTGTTGCTTCAGTTACGACATCCGAGGGTGAGATTTCTCAGCTTTTTGTGATTTTGTTGAAAATTGTGGTGAGGTAGGTAGAATAGATGAGACTGTTGTGTGTTGGAAGATGTGTGCTTGGTGTTTGATAAAATGCCTGTTTATTCTTTAAGTGTTACAATGTTTACTAACGATATAAATGATGACTTCAGATCACATGGCATGGGAACAATTTGATACACCCGGTGAAAAAGCTCCAAACTCATTATACAGAGAAACATGACTTGTAAGCATTGCCGACATACAAACATGAGAAAATAAGTAAAATTTATTAATTTTTGTAAATAAATTCTTTAAATTTGGAAAGTTTGATTTAGCCAATATTTCTATTCAATTTAGTTACAACTTTTGATGACTGTTGAATTGAATGAGATTCTGAATCAAACACCAATGTACGCTTTCTGTTCACCTGGATTGTCAGTGTGTATTCAGTCCAAAAGCTTTTATCTACAAATTTATTTGTTCTATTTCACTCAGTATTTCTGAATAATGTTTTTTCCCCCACTGAAATGATGGTTTTCATTGCAGGTTCTATATGTTCTTTGTTTTGATTTTCAGTTCAAGTTTGCCGCAAGGTGAGAGTGTGTAGTGGGCAGAATTATTACCTCATTAGCTCCCATGTTTGTCAAATTATTACCAAAATTTGTGAATAATGTTTAAGATTGCTAGTTGAAGTTACTGTTGGTGCCTGCCCAAAATTTGGCTTATCCAGAGTTGAACAAGTTAACAGTTTAGGTATCAATGATACAAGATGAAGATTAAATCATTTAAGTGAGTAATCACTGAGTTATTAGTCTTGTAGAAGGGTTAAGTGCTTTTTTTATTTATCATTAGAATGATGCCATGACCTTGATGATGTTTCTTGTGTCTGCTGATTAAATTGCTACTTGGAAAATGCTTACTTGCTACTTGGAAAATGTTTGTGATATTTACATGTCTGTAATAAGCATATTGTTATGGACAACTGTCAGAGGCTATTACATCCTTTATAGCTCTTAGTTTGCAATATTTGCATATCTGTATGCATATTGTTGTGAATTTTATTACTTAAGTCCCATTGTGTGCAGGAAAATTCTGTGTTGTGATGCTTAGCGGCCTGCTTACTTCTTTCTTCTTTTTAGTTTTTCTTGAAGGCCTACTGAGTTTGCTGCTCTGGAAATATCTTGGGGAATGTTGGGTAAGCAAAATATTCCAATTTATTCTGTTGTATTTTGAGTATGTTACACTAGTATATTGTTGATGTAATGATAATTGCTCCATAATATGTAGTTCTCAGTGATATTTAGAATTAGTTACTCAACCTTATCCTGGACACTTTTCATGTTTAAGAATCTACTGCTATGTTCAGGCATCTTGCACTACCTCTTAGACCTAACAACTTCACCCATCATTGCTATTTGCTTTTCCAAATGCTTATTTTATCTAAGTCATTGCAGGTATTCCTTTCCTTAGTTTATTTACATTGGACACAAATTCAATCTTACTCTTAATCTTTTTTACATTTGAAAATTTTTTACTAACATAAAATGCAATGTAACATGTCAGTCATGTTCAAATAACCTTGTATCATATGTTGACTTCAGATGCATTAATTTATGTAAAAGTTTGTAAAAAATTTATGTATCTCTCTACTATTTTGGTGAATGTATAATTTGAATAGAATTGGATTTGATATTCGAATATAATTAGATTGTGTTGGATATGAATATAATTTTTTTGTTGTTCAATATTGTGTACATGCACTCAAAGTAGATTCTGCACACAAAAAAAAAAAAAAAAAACTGTAGCAAGTATCCTAGACGGAAATTCCGTCTAGGATGCTCAAATTCCGTCTAGGATACCTTTTTTAAAATTAAAAAAAAAATAGAAAACCAATTTCCGTCTAGAATAATCATTCTAGACGGAAATCTTTTCCGTCTAGGATGTATTCTAGACGGTTTTGAATTCCGTCTAGAATATTCCGTCTAGAATGTATTCTAGACGGAATTTCCGTCTAGAATAATGCATCCTACACGGAAACTTTCTAGACGGGTATTCTAGACGGAATTTTGTCTAGAATACCCATCCTAGACGGAATTTTGAGTATCCTAGATGGAATTTTCTATCTAGGATACCTTATTTTTTAGCAGTGGAAACTCTGGAGTTCAATAATTTAAGAAGAAGCTAGTAATTTTGTGCTAAGGGAAAAAATAAATTAGAAGAAAATGTGGCTATAGTTATTTGATACTAAACATTTTCTACCCGTAGGATTTTTTTTCCTTCAAACGTTATGGTATTTTTGTTAGGTTGGAAAGAATGGGGTTTTAGGGTAAATTTCACAAAGCCCTCTTTAAGTTTGGGCATTTCTCAGATGACCCCCTTAGTTCTTAAAATATCATAAAACCCCTCCCAAGTTTTTCGTTTCTTAGAAACCCCTTTCAACTTTGATTTTTTTTTTTTTTAAAACTCCTCAAAAAGCATGAACTGGATTTCTCATTGAGAAACCCCTACATAATTTTTTTCCCACCCATGTGAAAATTGCGATTAATGTTGTTAGTTATTCAATTTTTTTGAAAAAATATTGAAA